TCAAGTAACTTAAAGAAGTCCAGACGCTTTTCTTTGCAAGCTCCTTTGACTACGATGACCTGGATGACTGAGAACCTTCACAGACATTAGTATATAAATGTTAATTCATAAAGCTTTAAATCGAATGAAAGGCTTAAAAAAAACCCACATAGGTCTATAAGCCTGCCTTACAGCAGGCCCACTTGAGCACCTCAGGTCTAAGCAGCTGCACAGCTCAGAGTACATTGCCAAGATTGTTAAAAAACAAAAAATGAGTAATTATATCAAAATTACCAAATGCATAATTCTGTAGCGCCAGTGTTACAGTCCCCCCTCCCTCCCCCGTCCATGAACGTGATACATAAAAGCACTGTTGCTTTAATGTTCCTCCAAAAACGCCCCCGCTTCTCACAGAGGGAAAACATCTCGCCTGCAAAATAACAGGACTCCTGAGATCAGCTGCGGCAAACGCACCGCCAAAATCACACAGAAAACGGAAAAATACGTCGTTAGGACTCGTCGTAAACGACCGCATAACAAGTTTCAAGTGGAGGCAAAACACAGGACCAGAATAAAATGCAAAATTTAAAAACATATTCCCAGAAAAACGGCGACACTTTTATTTTCTTTCTGACAAAACTGTCCAGAAAATCCTTCCATATTTTATCTTCATAGAAATTAGAACACACGCAAATAAATCATAGTTTTACACGGCATCCCTACAAAAATCGAGGCTTTAAAATGTCGTATTCGAAAAAATAAAAACAAATAATAAAAGAAAAAAAATATAAGCTTATATGTTGTTGTGGAAGCTACTTATAACTAGTTTCTGTGCAGTTTGTGCCATCATAAAATGTACGTCACTACAGCCAACACAGTCTCAGGAATACCAGCCAGGAGGGGAAAAACACATTAAAAATAAAAACAAAAAGTCCCAAAGACGGTTCAAAGTCAGGACAAAAACAAAAAAAATGTAAAAAGGTAAAAAAAAAAAATCTGTCATTTAAAAATACTCACCAGGAGCTTAACACTAAAAATGAGAACAATTCAACGCTCTTTCTACTTGCACGGGTAAAGATCCGCTTACAGCGCTGCTGGCTCAACGTATCACCTTGAAACCAGTGGACACGAAATGGCGTCGACTCGCACTGGCGACAGGGGAAGGCCACGCCCGCTTCCGAATCCTAGTTTCTGATTGGATATCCTGAGCCCCGTGTCTGTTTAATCTCTTCAGTGATTGGTTTCGTGCTCTTGCCACTGCCGTTGCCGCTCATTGATGACGACATTCATGTATGCTAATCAATTGACTACCCGACTGTACGACACTAGTTTGTGGCTCTAAAACATTGATGGCTGTGCTTTGTTTTAACCCGAAACCGAGGCACAACTGTAGTATTTTACTGGTTGAGAGCAGCACGGGTGAAGTCCTAAAAACAGACATACTTGCCAGTCTCTATTTTGAGTCTTTACTTTTATTTATTTTTTTTTATTAAGGAGCTAATATGAAAAATTCAGTTAATGTTTTCTCTTTTTTAATGATGTATACACAATAGATTTGATCCAATTGATTGTTGAAGTTGTAGTTTATTTGAATTAGTTCCATTAAGACAGAGATAGAAATGAATACATTTTTATGTATTTGATCAAAACCATTATTTTACCCAAGATGATCAGGATTAACATTGAATAGCATGTGAAATCTCATGCGCTTGTCAATTTTTTACTGGTATAGTGCTCTAAATGTAAAGCTGCAGTGTAACAACAATGCCATTAATAACAATCACACATTGCTTCTGCATATGTCAG